CACAGGTGCCCTTTTGAACACTATATTAGGGGCAGTTAAAACTGCAAGCCAGTTACCCCGCTTTTGTGCTGTCACTGAAAGAATCTTGTCCTTTTAAGAGCAAAGAGGAAACTCATTGTGGACATTTCAGTGAGAACTTGATCCAAAAAATATCTAAAACCACACAAATAGTTGCCTGGGTTGCTCTCAGGCAGGTGACATTCCAAGCATAACCGTGTCTATTTTAGCAGAGTAATAAAAAACAGACGTCTCTTTGTCACCATGAGTTTGAGTTAAACAGCTAGACACAAACCCTAGTGATTTTGAAACATACAGTGTGAACAGTAGTTACATGTTCACTAGTCCTAGGGCACCGCATAATGCAGGTTTAAGAGAATGAAAACTCTTAACTGATCATAAGTTAACTGAAACTCAGGTTTCTGATTTTCTGGTTTAGTTAGATTGTATAGTGGTTAAACAGTTTTTTGCATAAACCTCAATTCAAGATAATTATCAATAATTGCACAACCCCGGAAAAGATTGCAGCTGTGCTAACATATCAAGTAATAAAATAGCACACACTGTGGCACAACAGTCAGGTAAAATTGACTTCTGAGCCTGTAAAACCAGCTGTCCTAAATACTGAACAGAGGATTAGTTAATCTTTTTAAAAGAGGCTTTGTGTCCTACGGAATGTAGGTAATCTAACAAAGCTAGCAAGTCATGATCATGTTCCTCTGCATTTGAGGAAGCAATCAAAATAATACTTGACAATGTTCCATTATTAATTTCATACTGCTTGGTATTCAGACAAGGAAAAACCAGTCAGGTTGACATGTTCAACCTTTAGTAAGCCACAATCTGCAAGAGATTTGGACCACTTCAGGCATAAAAAATAAAACTAATACCTTGCCCCATGAGCTGATTGATGACACCTAATGCCACCATGACAACACAGGACAACCATAAAACTTGCATACACCCCAGTACAGGGCAGAGGTCAGTGCTACTTTGGGCTTCTAACCACAGCTTCAGTTGTATCTGAAACTCAACCCTGAGCTTTCCAGGAAGTTAGTCCCAGTCACTATATCAAACTTAATTTAAACTATCAAACTTTTCCTTACGTTTATACTTCCACAGGCCTATTTTGCCTTGGAGATTGTATGCATTAAGATATGTTCTGCGAGTTTGCCAGAATGACATATTTAGCTTCTCATCTAGGGACCATATTTTATCTGAATGAACAGGCATTTCTTTTGATTGTCCAAACTAGATGAGTCTATATGTTTACATAACTGTTCATCCGCTCTGACAATGACAACATTATCAGATCAATCAGGTGCCACCCTACCACCCCTCTGTGTGGTAGCCTTTTCTCCTGCCATGGGCTTATAGGAACACTACGAAATGGGCACTCACCTACAGCATAGAGATGAGATGTCCAATCCAGGTCACAGCACCACTTGATAGAATCCAAACCCCAACGAACCAGGGGACTAGGTCTGTTGTCTGGACAAATGAAGTTTATTCGTTGTGCGCACAGGTTCCAGAGAGCCAGCCAGCCCGTAAGACAATGGACTGTCACAGTTTTATAGCTGGACTGATGCCAAGATTAGACCCAGCTTATACAGGACAAGTAACAGGTGTGACAACATGACCATATAAGGAGAAACACAAAAATAGGCAGCCTAAAATACAACTTCAGCACATACACAAACAACACAGTACATTTCACAACAATAAATTCCTTCAATATAGAACCATAAACACTTTAAGTACCCTTTACATGTTTAAATGGTTCTTTGCATAGTGAAATCGTTCTTCAGATTGACTGGGAATGTGTTGTATATGGTTCTATATTATGGAAAAGTTCTATATAGCACCAAAAAGGGTTCTGCTATAGTTACAAGCTTGATGTTGTAACAGTAGAAAAACCCTTTTTGGTGCTATATAGAACCCTTCCAAAAAAGCTTCTATACAGCACCATCTACAGCACATTCCCCATTATGAAGAACCCTATCATGAAGCAAAGAACCCTTTAATCATGTAAAGGTTTTTTTTTGAGTTTTCATTGTTCTATATAGAACCATTTCTCTGACTAAAGAGCCCTTTTTAAGAGTGTAAATGAAGCGCAGCTAAAAATAGTGGTAGCACTTTTCAAGAGGACGATAACAAAACTACAGCGATGTAGCAAACATCCACAAGTAAATTCCATAACGTAAATAAGTGAATAAATAAAATAGACTGGCATAAATGCTTTTATTTATTTTTGCTTACATTAATTAATACTGTATTATTCTCTTTTTCTACAATAGGCTGGACAGTCTAGGTCAGTAAACTTGAAGGTTCAGAGTGACTCTTTGACCCCTGATGTGTCCACATCAGTCATGAAAAGAAACGGGATGAAGAGAGAGAAAATGAAATGCTACCCAGTTCTTTGTTGCACTGTAGCGGAGGATGATGATGATGACATGTACCAGGAGCTCCGTGTGCCTCCCTGTGAGACAGTAAGTGAATCAAGGAGAATATTGCCAAGCACAATAAGTCAAACTGTTCTTTTGCTTTTTAAGTTTGCTGAAACACTAAAATATAAAAAAATGAAATTCTGAAATCTTTCTCCATAAAGTATGATCTAATTACAGTATATTTGTTATTATTTATGTATTTATGTATTTATTCCTGAGCTACAAACTTCAGTGTTTTTGGATTGTCTCACATGATTTAATTCTGTGTATCATTTAACTAGATTTATATGGCATATATCTGGTATTTAAGATTCATTCTGTAATCATGACCTGTGATCTCTGAATGTCCTTTGTTCTTCTCTGTAAACTCTCACATGATTTTGTTTGTGTCACCTGTTATGATGTGAGAAACCATTTAGCCAGCTAGCATAGCTAAACATTTTAAAACAGGGAATTTCACAACCCCATTGACAGCATGTAACTTTGCATTTGAACCGATTTTGATCATAAAAATTACTGGTAAATTGTTGGAGCAACTTACTGATTCACAAACAGTGAAATCCTATAGCCTGTGTGTGTGTGTGTGTATGTGTGTGTGTGTGTGTGTGTGTGTGTGTGTGTGTGTGTGATTCCATACAGTCCTGTTTGAGTTTATGTTTATAGACTAATACTTTGTTTGATAAGACTAGGGACACTTTGTCATCATGTTAGATTATGGTTAAGTAAAAGTTTTTTTTTCTCCATGTCCGAGATATTGAGATGAGAAATATTAGGAAATGTAAGAAGATTTAGGAGGATTTGTAAATTATTTCACCCAGTTCAGACTCTCTGCCAATTAAACCTGTTCTTATGAGAATTCGACAGTGGAGAAACAAACTAACACGATCTCAGAAAAATACACTGAGTCTTCTGGAATATGTATTAAGGCCTGACAGACATGACAATGAAATGAAAGGAGTTAAAAACTGAATATATGGTGTGTCACTATAATTTTATATGCTCAAAAATGTTTTAGTGAAACAGTGTTTGACTGGCTGACTTTACACTTAAAACAGCACAAATTCACGAAATCTTATGAAACGGATAGTTTTGGTCCTAAAATTTGATTGGCTAAGACATGTTCGAAGTCGTTGTATAATACAGGATATATGCGACCACCTCACAACCATTGAACTCTGTATTACTGCGTTGCGTCGCAAAAATCGAGATTGTCGTCGCTGCAGAACCAAAAGTCCAGCGGGTGCGGCTGGATCTAATCCAACTCCTCCTACATCGTGTTTTAATTGGTCTGAACTACATCAGGCTCCACCCCGCCCCGCTATACTTGCCCGTCAGATTACATCCATCCATCATCTAAACCGCTTATCCTTCTGGGTCACGGTGGGGTGCTGGAGCCTATCCCAGCTGTCATTGGGCGGAAGGCAGGATACACCCTGGACAGGTCGCCAGTCCATCGCAGGGCAGACAGACAGACATACACATTCACACACACACTCATACCTAGGGGCAATTTCCGTCAGATTACATTAAAATGTAATTAAGTGCGAATGTGAAAGTAAGTACATAACACACATTTTCTCTCTCTTATGAAATTCCAGGATTTAGTTGATAAAACACAGTTATGTGGGATATTTTGACCTCTCATAAGTGCATTCTAGTGTTTAAAAACTTTCAGCGTTTTCAACTAGAACTCGTCTATCATCAGTACAGTTGAGATGTAGGCCTACAGAACGGACTTTGTACCGGATGTGAAAAAAGCTTTTCGAGTTCTGATAAATGAGTGTGAACGGCGTGAATCGTGAGCGATTATAAAGGCTGTGTTGCGGCATTCAGGACGGAGCAACATCTAGAAAAAAACAAAAACAAAAACACCAGCATCACCTGCGGGTTTCCCACAGATAAAAACGTGACAGGGTAGACCAATGAAATTAATCGTAGGCGGAAAACGTAAGCGACACATACTAATTTAAAGAACCTTATGAAATGTGATAATTTTAGATCAATGAAAAGAAGACGTGGGCGGAGTTGGATCAGGTCCGGCTCCACCCCTTTGGACTTTGCAGCGAGTGATAGTTGGCAAAAATCCTTTTGCTGTTAATGGATTAATCTTTGACCTTAATGCTGCTCGCATGAATCACCGAGTGAACTGATGAAGTAAGAACTCGTTTCTGTTTGAACTAACGACTTATTTCCTTAACTAGAACTAGGCTGGTCAGCTAGCTAACAGGCTAAAAGAAAAACTGCAATGTAAAAGTCTAAAGAATGTCACTTAAATATCTATCATGTTTCAAATGTTTGTGCTTCAGTCAGGGGTAGTAAGAAATCCAGGCTGAATCTCAAACAGCTCCGTACTCCCTAAATAGTGTGCTAAATAAGTTTTGAAGTTTAAGCTTTTGCAGCCAAATAGTGCACTTTTTGTCGAGTTTGGATGTGGCTGAATCCCAAATGTCTATTTGTTAGCTACATTATGCACTGTTGTGGTACTGGAGTCCATATTTAACTTACCAGATAGTTCACTATGTAGGGAACAGGGAACCATTTGAGATTCAGCCCAGCATGGGAAGAGGTGCGCTGTTAGCTTGGTGCTAATTTGGTGACCAAAAAGTACTCATAAATGACGTTTTTACATTAAACGGTGCTTTGTTATATGTTCATTATTATACGTCAAAAACTACGTTATACGTTAAAAACGTCATGAAATGTCCGCAGTATATAGTAAGGGGTGACCAAATGTTCTTCTACTCATTCAGTGGTAAATGGTTGTTTGGCAAAGATACCATACTCTAAAGCAGGGGTGTCAAACTCGACGACTAAAAGGGCCATATTAAAAACTCAGCAAATCTGTGGACCAGCTGTGTCTTTATTTCATTTTACTTAACATTTTGCCATGACCCGAACGGGCAATTGTTTATTTAAAATATGGCAAAACTGCAACAGTAAAATAGGCACTGAATACTTATTCAAAAATAATTCTAAAGAGTCAGAATTGTTCACAGTGGTGGAGAAAGGAACCAGACGTATGTAGAGTTGATCACCTGAAAGCTCCCTCACAGAAAGTTATTACTTAAAATGGTTCTGAATACACTGCCTGATGACTGAGACATTGTTTTGTGATAAAGTTTTGGTTTGAAATGTTTTTTAAGCTATTTAATTTAATCCATTCATGGTGGAGAGACACCGTGACCCAGAAGGAAAAGCGGTTTAGATGATGTATGTATGTATGTATGGTGGAGAGATACATGCAAAACTTGTAGGTTTACTGGTGGTTTTGTATGGTAAATAAAATGGCAATATTTGTGTTGTAGACATGGCATCCCCTGGTTCCCATCACCACCACTGTAAAGAAATCTGAGCCCGTAAGCTTCTCTATAATAAACCATTTCACATCAACCCACTCTGAAAGACTCTGTTTACATGTCAAGAACTGAAGCAGCTCACGACTAATTTGTGTAATTCATAATCAAGTTTTGTGGAAGAAATACAGCAGAAGATGATGGAGCAGAACTCTGCAGCCACAGGTTCCATACATTCCTGTTTGAGTTTGTTTATTTATTCATTTATTCATTATTTTTTAATTGTTTAGTGTTTTTTGTTTGTTATTTTCTTTTTCGTCAGCAGCACAATACAAGCACATTTAGATATCACTGCATTCCTTAATAACAGTATAGAACACAACACAATGTATCTACGTAGAACTGTCATTACTGCAGATATATTTAGCTTATGTTTTATGAAATAACATTAAATATTCAAATGATCATCCTGTACTCAGACGCTCCTTGAGGAAAGAGGAAGAGAGCGAGGGATGCTGAGGAGGGATGCAGCCTGAGTGTTGAAGAGAGAACAAGTAAGTTTCCCAACACTGAAGCCCAGGCAGGGAAGAAGAGGAAGGGGGCAGTGAACCGGCCCAAGAGAACGACTCAGGGACAGAAGAAAGCCACTGAGTTAGGTCAGTTCATTCACCACTATATTGTAAAATTAAAAACTGCCACTGAGGAAATGTGATTGGGTAAAAAAGAGCTAACACACGGCCGAAAGTGTTGCCGATGGGAAAGAAGAGGAAAGTGATGGACACTGGCTCTAAAAAAAACAAAGAAAAAGATAAAAGAAAACTGCTAAACAGAGAAAATGGAGGAAACTAATAAGAAATGTGGAGAATCACTGTATTAAAAATGGTCTACATTCAGAATGTAACAAAGTATTCTACAGTAAGTATTATCATAGATCCCTTGTTGTCCTACAACAGAACGATTGTGATCTGGTCACTCTAGTGGTGGGTCCATTGACAGGCCTTATGGGGTGTCATGTTGTTGGTAAAGTGACAGGTCCAGAACATTAAATATTCAATAATCATCCTGTATTTAGAAGCTCCTCAAGGAAAGAAGAAGAGAACTGAGGAGGGATACAGCCAGAGTGTCGAGGAGGAAACAAGCAAGGTTCCTAACACTGAAGCTCCAGCAGGGAAGAAGAGAAAAGGGGCTGGGAACCGGAAGAGAACGACAAAGAGACAGGATAAAGCCACCGAGTCAGGTCAGTCCAATTGCCTGACCACTGCGTACTGTGAACCTTTAATTTCCCTTCATTCTAAGAGAGCTGTAATTATCTAAATGAGCTACACAGAAAGTAGATTCCGCTGCATCCTTCATAATCTCTAAGTTTGATTGGTAAACCCCAGATCAAAGATCTAAAGAGGGCTGATGCTCTTTTGTAATTTTGTTTTCCATAGACACCTTTGACTCCCACTATGTGGTTGGAGACAAACTGGGTGAAGGAGGCTGTGGATCTGTCTTCGAAGGAAGACGCGTTTCTGATGGCCTACAGGTTCTGCTCACACCTCGGATTTCATTTTAATGGTCATTATTTGTCCTTCTCTCTTTTCACTGTTATTAATCTTAATATCTTTGGTCTTTATGTAGGTGGCCATCAAATTTGTCTCAAAACGGGAAACAGACCGATATCTCTACAGCGTAAGTGCACCTACTTACCTCATAACACATGATGGTCCTAAACCAACCCAATGAGTTTCTCCCCATGTTCTTCACTCCTCACCCTCTAACTATTTACTGTCCTGCAGCCTGATGAGTCCAAGGTCGTGCCTGTGGAAGTGGCCCTGATGCAGATGACGAGCCAATTGCCCATCTGCAAGAACATAGTACAGCTCATCAAGTGGTTTGACAAGGCTGAGGGATACATCCTGATCCTGGAGCGCCCTGACCCTTGCGTGGACTTGGAGAGTTTCCTGAAAAGCCTCGGAAATTGCGTGGAAGAAGAGACGGCCCGAGCCATAATGGTCCAAGCAGTGGAGGCAGTGAGCCAGTGCAGTACGCAAGGCGTCCTGCATCGGGACATCAAATTGGAGAACTTCCTGATCAACACAGACACCTCAGAGGTCAAACTTATTGACTTTGGCTGTGGTGACCTGATGAAGACAACAGAGTATGACAGATACACAGGTAAAATTTGAACACTCCCCCTTGTGGAGAATCCTAAATCTAAAAACGTGATTCTGAGAGGAGAACAGTGTCCCATAGCCACTTAGCTGTTAAATGAAATACTGTGCTCTTCCTCTTTTTTAGGTTCTCAGGCACTGTTCAATACTGCCCTCCTGAAGTTTCTGTCAGTGGGACGTATCACGCTGGTCCTGCAACAGTGTGGTCACTTGGTGTCCTGCTGTTTAGGATGGTTTGTGGATACCTTCCCTTTGCTGACGATGAGGAGGCCATAATAGGGATTCTGGACTTCAAAGACGGCCTGTCTAAGGGTAAGATAAATGGGAGCGTCTGGGTAAATGAGACATCCCTTTGACCTGGTAAATAAGTACAGAGGAAGGATAATTGATCACATAATCTATAGTTAGAAGAAGAATGTGCAGTAGAGGTCAGTTGCCCCTAAATTTATACATCTATAACAGTGTACTTTTCATTTTGTAGTTATGTCCCACCCTTTCATTCATAGTCCTTCTAAAAATTAGTGGTTAAGCGTCTAATCCTGTCACTCTGCACAGAATGCTGTAGTCTGATTGTCTGGTGCCTGAAGTGCTTTCCATCCCAGCGGCCTAGTTTGCAGCAGATCATGCAGCATGAGTGGTTCCAGTGCACCATCCAGGCCTAGGATCAGGTTTGCCAGGGAGGCTAGGAGAAGAAGCAGTAAGCCTAAAACATCTAATGAAAATTGAGGAGATACTGTGGTGCACATGCATCGCATAATAAACTGGAAATGAAGATTAAGATTAAAAATCTTAAGATTTCGGGCTCCCCAGTGGCGCCACCGTGTAAGCGTTGGAGATCGCGAGTTTGATCCATGGTGATGCTATAGCCATCCGTAGCCGGGAGTCCAAGAGAGCACAATTGGCCTTGCTGTCTCTGGGTGGGTAGGATGGACAAGAGTAATGGCAAAGGGACAATGACAATGAAAAGAAAAAGGACAATGGCGGTGAATGAAGGACAATAACAGTGAAAAGGACACTGACAGTTAAAGAAGGACAACGACGGTAAATAAAGGACAATAACAGTGAAAACAACAATGACAGGTTAAAAAGGTTAACTACGGTGAATAAAGGACAATAACAGTGAAAAGGACAATGACAGTGAAAAAGGACAATGACGGTGAATAAAGGACAATGACAGTGGATTAGGCATGTGCCGGTATACCGTGATCGTTATTGTGGACACTTTATAATACTGTCATTGCATTTTAAAAAAGCTGCCTTTTTTACCCATAGACCACAGACACACAGCAACCGTGCTTTAACAAGCTCTGGACCATACGTTCACACTAGCAGGTGACAAAGCAATGGGCGTCCAATCATTTCCTATGGGAGTTTGCAATTTGTAACATCGATTTAGCGATAGACAGCAAGCGTCATAAATCAAGTTGAAATTCTCACAACTTTATGCAAATGAACTATGATACAGTGAAGCAAACAATCTACCTGATTGGCTTAAACAAAGTCATAGGACCAATCGTAGACACAGGTCTGAGGTCCCCAGCCTCTGCTCTCCGAACTCTGTGTTCCCACCATCCTTTTGTTGCTGTTCACAATAAGATCATATAAAATTTGGAAGAGAAACTTAAAAACATGTAAACTTATAACCTTTTCATATTTTACACAAAACATCAATACATATATAGTACATATTTTCACATTTACTTCTTGTCAGAAGAGCTCGACAGTGCCCACACGTGACAAGAGCGAATTCAAGCACACCCACAAGAGACAAACTTAACGCAACATTAGCAACTTGTCGACTCCTAGTGTGAATGTGTGCTTAACATATTCAGACGCATTTTTTTTTATTTTACCAAATTGTTTGCGTTGTGAAAAACGGAAGGCAGAATATCTGTGAGAAGGTCCTTTACTACTCACAAAATGTGCAAACTGTGACAGAGTGCAGGATGCTTTCCACTTTGGAACAGTGACAGGAGAATGTGGAGTTTCTCCACCTCATTCAGGACCTAAAACTTTCACTCACAGCTCAGATCTCTGTAACTCAGCTCCACACAAGACGAAGCACAAATGGGCAGAATGTCTTTAAGTGCAATAAAATCTCCTTTATTTCTCACAGATTGAGAAAATGGTGACTCTGGGCTACTGTCCAGTTTGTAAAAGTGAACGTAGTGTGAAGATGTTCATCATCTTCATCACAAATGCCGAGTGCTTCCACACAGGCTATAATTTAGTTTGTAGTGCAGTTTGTAGTTCAGTTTGAGCTGCTGTTGGAGATTCTGATCCTTTTGTGTTTGTATAAAAGTTATATTAGCTGGAAAACAGCTGCTCCATCATCTTTGTTTTTGTCATGCTAACAGCAGAAGCTATTGTGACTGGTCAGTGAGTTTTTCGTTGGTGAAAGTTCACTGAAGGAAGACAGAGGTCATATAAAACAATGTCACATTTTCAGCGTCTGAAAAATCATGTTTTGTGTGGAAGATATCGATAGTTATAGACATGCTCAAATGAATTTACTGCCCTCCAAATAAATTGCACAAATAAATTGTATTTGTTGTGTAACGGCCTTAACAATTGTCTAGAAAGACAACTGTCTGTCAGCAGCTGATTCTGACTTATCTTGCTCCAGAACATGAGTTTAGTTGGTGAAGATTCAGAGCCTAATTACTACTGATACTACATTTTGATATCAGCACATGCCTACAGTGGATAAAGGACAACAACAGTGGACAAGGGACAGTGAAAAAGGACAGTGACAGTAAACAAATACAGACAGTGACAGTAAAACAAACAAAAAAAAATTTGGTTAAATTTAAAGTCAAGAAATAAAAACACTGCTTGATTCCATACTTTTCGTCTGAAGTGAATTACAGGGCTCATATCCTACATTTTTCCTGTATTTTTTTCTTGAGGTCCACTGATGGCTTTTATTTTCAGTGTACCAGAAACAGTCTTAATTCATTGCTGCATGACCACGTTATCCCTTAAGCCTTAGGGACACTACACGACTTTTAAAGTTGTAACAGATTATAAAAAGTCTGGGTATCACAAAGTTCCCGATTGATTTTTGATTTCTAGTTTTTATGGCAAATGAAAAAATGTCCAGCGCACCCTAAACGACTAGGGATCATACACTACACGACTTTGACCTGTTGCTGAACCGGACCAGACCGAACACGCCCCAAAACACGCCTGTCTTGTGTTACCAAGGAGACCACGATTAAACATGGAAGTACAGCTTGCTGCTGTCATTGTTTTTGCCATAAATTGTGCTGACCCAAAAGGGTCAGTCTTGGGTGAGAAGACGGAGTCAACACGGCCTGTACAGACTGCAGAGGGAGTTGAGTAGCATAGCACATATTGGAGGCTTCCCTACATACGAGGCAAATGTTGACTTCTTATATGAATATCATTTAAGGTGGAACGGAAAATTTCAAAGTAAGAAGCTGGCTAATAAGAAGCCAACTTCAGCTTTGTACGCTAAGTGATAGTTGAAAAGCAGCTGGTGTGACACACTGTAGGTGTATTCACATTTATGTTAATTTTTTATGGAACGTTATATGTGTTTTCTTTTATTTGACGTAACATTTTCTTTGAGTTGCTGTATGGGTAAGAATAACCCCTGCCAGTAGGGGGCGCTGTGGCAGACGCCAGTTTGTGGCTTTAAGAAGGTCAGAAAAAAAAACTCAAATGCAATTGGGAGCTTGAAGACAAAGCCAGTTTCACCGTCTCCTTCTTTATATATCTTATCACACAGGTAACTAGGGGAATGAAATAAGTTCACATAAGCACTAGTTATGTGATGAGTGTAAAAGTACCTATGACGGGAAGAGTTTGTCTGATGGTGAGAAACATTGAATATGCGTAAATAATAGTACTTAATGAAATCATACTCTCCCAAACTGAAATGGCGGACGCTCATTGCCTGGTTGTTCTTTTACCAACGATTCAGCTTATAATAGTTTATGGTGGTTCCATGTGCTTGTGGAGGGAGTAAGCGGATAAATTGGTAACGCTTAAGAGCTATAATCTGTAATAAGTCTATCCGGTTTGCCCTTTTAAATAAGATGTACGCACCACTAGCTTTAACCTCTGCTAGCTTTAACCTGTTAATCCTTGTAAACAAGCTGGAGCCCCGCTAGCTTTAACCTGCTAAATTAATCCTTATAAACAAGGTGGAGCCCCGCTAGCTTTAACCTGCTAATCCTTATAAACAAGCTGGAGCCCCCCCTAGTTTTAGCCTGTTAACTCTTATAAACCCTCGCTAGTTTTAGCTTGTTAACCTAATCCTTATAAACAAGCTGGAGTCCCCGCTAGCTTTAACCTCCGCTAGCTTTAGCCTGTTAGCTCGTATGAACAACATATGGCCTCCGGTAGCTTTAGCCTGTTGGCTCTTATAAATAAGCCATAGCCTCCACTAGCATTAACCACCGCTGGCTTTAGCCTATTTGCCCCATAGATATATGGTTTGCCCTTATAAATAAGCTTTAGCCACCGCTAGCGTTTAGCCGTTTGGCCTTGTTCAGTGAGCTTCAGTAAGTTAATGTTGGCATTTACTGACTGACTTGCAGCTATAAACTAGTTTACACTGGCAGTTTGCCTTCATTGATGTAATGCTTACCGGGTTATGGGAAAAGAAGCAAATTTAGTAAATTAGCTTGTGTTTACTTTTGGTTTTACATTTAAATCGGTTTGGGTTCAGTATTTTGTTAAAGTCCAATGAATGTAGTGCAGTCACAGCAGAAAATAGCTAATACAATGGGAATAGTACTGTGAGCAGAATGCTGAACAGAGCTTAAGGATCCACAATGAGCTGAGAGTGTTTATGTGAAGTATTGAGAAAGCTTTAAGTCTATCTTATGCATCAGTGCATTTGTATATTAGAGTAATAGCTAATGTGGTAAGAGTTGACATGTGTATGTATGTATAGATCTATATCTGTATGGATATGCTGATCATACTGGTATTTGTTATATAGTTTTGAATATTTACATGCATATTAGACATGTCTAACTGTGAAGAACTAGAATGAGCTGCTATTGAGTATTCATACATGAAGATGTCTCTGTATATTTTCATGTGAAGAGCTAAGCTGTGAAATTGCATAAAGGACATATGAAAGACCAAAGCCTTAGTTAAAGATTGTATTTAATAAAGGGAAAAATAAAATGCAATTAGGAGCTTGAGCACAAAGTAACTGTTTCACAGTCTCCTTCTTTATATATCCTGTCACACAGGAACATAACTGTTGCCCCGCCTCACACACCCTGGGGTGTGTAACACTGGCTTGCTGTTTAACTATCCCTGCTGAAAACAGACCATAAGAACCATTAGGATTAAGACATGAAGGTTTTGTTTTTTTAATGGGAATTTGCTTAGTGGTTACCATTAGAGACAACTAGTTTCCTGTTGCATACCTTTAGATTCTATTAAGAAACCATCAAATGCATCTCGAATCAGAACACCTGTCAAACCATCAGAGTCCCTTACACAGTGATATCAATCCATGAGGAAAACACTAAATACCTTTAGAGACTATTGGACATCATCAGGAACCAACAGAAACTTTTAATGGTTTCTATGTTTTTTTTCCAGCAGGGGTGTCTGTACAGTAGCTACATATCAACAAATGTGAAGCCTCACATGTACTGGCTGTTATGTGGTC